GAAATCCCCCTGCCAAAACAGCCCAGGACCAGATGGCTTTCCAGCTGAATTCTATAAAACATACAAGGAGAAACTGATATCAATCTTAGTGAAAATATTCCAGACAATTGAGAACAATGCACTTCTCCCTAACTCATTTTATGACACTAACATCATCCTGATACCCAAACTTGGCAAAGATCCAACAAGGTAAGAGAACTACAAATCGGCCTAGTATTGGTATAAGAATAGCTACATAGACCAATGGAACAGGACAGAGATTACAGAAGCAAAAACATGGTCTCTCAACCAACTCATCTTCGACAAAGCCACCAATAATAATCACGGAGGAAAGGAGACCATACTTAGCAAATGGTGCTGGGAAAACTGGCTGACCACATGTAGAGGAATGAAACTGGACCCCTACCTATCACCATATACAAAAATAAACTCAAAATGGATCAAAGACCTAAACATAAAACTTCAAACTATAAGAATCCTAGAAGAAAACATAGAGAACACCCTTATGCACATTGGAGTAGGCAATAAATTCTTGACCAAGTCCCCAAAAGCAAATGCCATAAAAGCTAAGATAGACAAGTGAGGCCTCATCAAACTGAAAAGCTTTTGCACAGCAAAAGAAATCATCAAGAAAGTAAAGTGACAACCCACAGAATGGGGAAAAAATGTTGCAAATTATGCATCTGACAAAGGCCTAATATCCAGAATCTACAAGTAACTCAAAGTGAAAAGAAAAAAAACAAGCAACCTCATTAAAAAGTGGGCAAAAGACATGAACAGACACTTTTCAATAGATGACATACAAGCAGCAAACACATGTAAACATGCTCGGCCTCACTAAACATCAGATAAATGCAAATCAAAACTACAATGAGATACTGCCTAATTCCAGTAAGGATTGTTATCATTAATAAGTTAAAAAACTATAGGTACTGGTGTGGGTGCAGAGAAAAGGGAATGCTTCTACACTGTTGGTGGGAGTGCAAGCTAGTTCAACCTCTGTGAAAAATAGTGTGACTATTCCTAAAAGAACTAAAAATTGGCCCTCCATACAATCCAGCAATCCCTTTCCTGGGAATGTACTTAGAGGAGCACAAATTGTTCCATATAAAAAGACACCTGCACACACATGTGTGTTTCTGCACTATTCACAATAGTAAAAACATGGAACCAACCCTACTGCCCAGCAAAAGTGGACTGAATAAAGAAATACACGATGAAGTATTTCGCAGCCATAGGAAGAACAAAATCATGGACTTTGCAGTGAATTGAAGGAGTTTGGAGACCATCAAACTAAGTAAACTATCACATAAACAAAGAACTGTATACCTCATGTTCTCACTCATAAGTGGGCCTTGAACATGTCACATTAGCACAAGGGGTGATTGCCAGTCACTAGGCATTACTAGAGGAGGGAGGAAGGAGGGTGAGGACACATGACAACGCAAAACATACTTTGTTCATTACTGGGGGAGTAAGGGCCAGTTAGAAGCCCAAACTTCACCTGCATTCAGCCTACTTATATAATAAATCCTCACTTGTATCCCACATTGCTATATAATAAAATTAATTTTTAAAAACAGAGTTAAGCTGTGTTTATGGTGGTTTATCAATTAGCTTTTGCTGCATGAAGAACCATTTCAAAAAAATAAAATAAAAATAAGAACAAACCAGATACTAGATTTACCTATAGGAGTTTGCCTATAGGAATGGATGGGAAAGATGTAGAAGGAAGTGGGGAGAATGGGAACAGATTGGTTGGAATGAGGAGGAAGTGATACTTCTGTCCCGACTAAAAGAATTATAATATTGTTTTTTATTCAGAATTACAATATTGTTTCACGTAAACCCAAAAGTAATAATTAAAATCAACCAGAATGTGAGGGAATCCAAAATGAACACAAGCAGTGAAAATGGACCTAACTGAATTACAAAAGAATGATGTAACCACACAGAAAGGGGTGAGGAAGAAACTAATCTAAATAACTTTAGAAACCAGTACTTTGTCTAAGACTGTAAGGCTAATGACAAATGGAAATGCGTACATATACTGTACTCAAGCTAGTAATTTTGTTTCTTACAAGAGCATGGGTTTGCAATTCTGAAACCACTTTGTAATAGGACTAAACAAATAAGTCAAATGCGTTGTAGATAATGGCAGATTCTTCAGTGTCAGAGGAAAAAGTGATAAATAAGGAAAGAGAAGCTAGAATGAATACTGCAGTGCTGTACTGGAATTGAAGACAATGATATGAACTCATGATTTGAATATATATACACAAATAGATACAGAAATATAGATGTATGTGTGAGTTAGTATACACAGCATATTTTTCTTCGTTCTGCCCACTGAGAGGGCCTGGCTGCAATAATACCCTCATAGAAAGGAGCATGCTAAGTGCTCAGGTCTTGGTTTCTAAATCTCATTCTCCAACAAAAGAAACCAGGATTCTTTGGAGAAGTGATTGATTCCAGAACTGGGTCAAGGAAAGGTCCAAGATGAGTTTAGAATATCTCATAGTGCCAGAAATAAAGAAGTATTCAAAAAAAAAAAGCATAACATTAGGTGGAAAATACACAGGAGAGCCAGTGTTAGGGAGTTTCTTGCCAAATCTGAGCACCAAAACAACAGGCAGAGTATGACCATAAGCCACTGAAAAAGGTTAACTCCTGAGTCCATTCCAATAATAAATAGATAAATAAATTAACAGAGGAGAAAAGAGAGCACTTGCTTACAGTGGAATGAGTGACAACTGATAAATGCAGAAGGAAGGATGATGTTGGAATGTCACCAGTTTGCAACCATCATAGTAAAGACTGGATTGGGCAAGAATCCTCACTGGCGTCTATAAAGGGTAAATTTAATCACAAGAATATTTGCATGGTCTTAAAATGTCTCCTCAATTGCTTACTAGTTGTAAGGGAAAACATAAAACTAGACAGTGGAAAAATCAGACAACATCTTACCCAAGTGATCAAAATTAATATCACCAGTGATGGACAAATGAACATTGTATGCCTCCAGAGGTGATACGCTGAGGTAAAAGACACGATATCATTCATATAGTATTCTGGTCAGGAATGCATGTCTCAAATCTTTTAAGAAAGCATTAGACAAAACCAAACTGAAGGGGAAAATGGAGACAGAAGAGCTGTGGTCTTCAAAAATGTTAATATCATGTAAGAAAAAGAAAGGCTGTAGAAATACTCCATATTAAAGGAGGCTAAAAAGACATGACAACTAAATATAATACCTGATCCTAAACTATATCATGTAGTGGAACAACAACAAAAGGCTATAAAGGCCATTACTGGGTCAATTTACAAAATTAGAATATGGATAGTATCAATATTAAATTAACTAAAGTTGAAAATTATACTATGATTATGTGCAAAAATATCCCTAATTGTTAGGAACACTGAAGTATTTGGGAAGAAAGTGCCATGATATATGCTGTTTACTCTCAAGAGACTCAGAAAAGATATATCGTGTGTGTGCATGTGTGTGTGTGTAAAGAAAGAATGCAAATGATGGAGCATATGGGATAAAATGTTGACAATGGATAAATCTGGGTGGAAGGTAAATGGTGTTCTTTATACATGCTTATTCTTTCAATTTTCTGATAAATTTCAAATTATTTCCAAATGAAAGTTAAGAAAAAACACGAGTCAGTGTGATCATTAGTGACAGACGAGTGTTCTACTTCTTGTGGGAGAATTTACTGAGATCTAACAAAGTTTTTATATGTAGAGAACCAGGCTGGGAGGGTCTGATTCACCTTTGAAAGTCAGTCTGGTAATTAAAGTACTATATGGATAAGTAGGCCTGCTGGTTTTCTTGGCCTCTTATTCTAACACTATTCTGTGGAATCCAGTAGAAGTGTGCCTCTACGCAGCTAACTTTTTTAAGTACCCTCAGACTCCACTCTGTGGTCATCTGTCTCAGTAGAAACCATAAGTCCTAGGTTTGGGCCACCCTAAAAGACTGAGGAAAGCAACACAGACCCAGAATGTGATCTATAGACTCATCATAATTAAACTTAAAAGAGTTATGTAACTTCCATGCCCAGAGTGGAATAAATTAGGTAGCTTGTCATTCCAGTGCTGTCAGGCTCAACACTGGTACTGAGAGACTTTGACAGGAAGATAAAAATGGAAATCTTTAGTGCTAACCATGAACTTTCCTCCACTGTCCATTAGCGATTTCCCAAGTGTCATTAAACAGAAAGACATGGTATTAGCAATAAACCAGAAAAATAGCAATACATTAATTCCTTCACAGAAGTTAGGAATTCATTAAAAGAGAAGGCAGTTTTATTACATGCATGTGTATATCCACATGTGAAAAATCAAACCTAAAATAACTTTAAAAAATCAAACTTTTCCCATTATACTTTCCTGGTATTCATTTACTTTTCTTTTATTAGCTCCCCAATAGGTAAACAGTAAAAGGCTCCCCAAGGTTTTTTTTTTAATTTGTGAAAAAAAATTTTTATAATTGAGAAAGGGCTATCCTTTCTCATAGTTTTCCCCCTGGATTTGATGGAAAGATATAATCAAATTTGTAAAGCACTGTACTGGAAGACCTTTAGAACAAGGGGCACTCAGCATGTCTTTGTGGTCCCTAAGAGCAAACAAAGAGCTATCTTGAGTAGTCTTTGGACACTACAGGACAGAAAGACCAAGGTTAGTGTAGAAAGTCAAGGAAAATTCACTTCTAGAGGAGAGTTCCTGGGTCAGCAGAAGGAAGTGGTAGAAGCCTTTTTACTTGCCAAAGAAAATAGGCATTACCCAAAAGAGGTCTGAGAGGGCCCTTTGGGACCATGCCATTCCAGACCAACCAGCCTCTCTCTCCCTCTCTCTCTCTCCTGCATTCTTCTCTCATGTTTAACACCCCCCTTGCTTGGCTGAGGGTGTAGGGGCTTTTCTCAGTTTTAGTTTTGGGACTTCAGCCAATTATCATCCTGACTGAGGAAATTCTTACAACTTATTCTGAGAGAATGGATGGAAATGGAGACTTAGCCAAGCAGGGCGAGGCTCATGCTACCTGTTTTCCCAGCTACACAGTGAAGACGGACATGGAGAAGGATATGGCTAGAGTCCAGTATCTGGCATTAGATGTGACTGGTGCACTCAGTCTTTCCACCTTTGTTCTGCACAGAGGGACAGCCACCAACTTGTCTCCATCAGCAGTTAGTTATCTCTTGGAAAGGGAGAAATAGGGAATGTCATATCAAAAATTCTTATGTGAGGGCCCTCCTTCTGTGCAGTAATATAAGTCTAGGACTATGCTCCCTCTAGATGCTTACAGAGGGGAACTAACCACCCCACCACTACCTTTGAAATACAGTGATTTTATTTGTTTTGCTCAACTGTAATTTTTCTTTTGGTTGGAGTCTCACTCTGTCACCCAGGCTGGAGTGCAGTGGCATGCTCACGGTCACCCCATCGTCAACCTGCTGGGCTCAGGCGATCCTTCCTCATCAGCCTTCCAAGTAGCTGAAAATACAGGCACACGTTATCATGCTCAGCAGGTTTTTTGATTTATTGTAGAGATGAGGTCTTACCAAGGTGCCCAGGCTGTTCTCAAACCCATGGGCTCAGGCAGTCCTTTCACCTCGCCCTTCCCAAAGTGCTGGGATTATGGGCTTGAGCCATCTTGCCCAGTCTCAGGTATAATTTTTGAATATTTTTTAGAGTGATGCCTGAGGCCAAAACTGGCTGGGAAGAAAAGACTTTGAGAAAAGTGTTTTTGTTTGTTTCTCTAAGTAAATTCTCCCCCAGTGTCAGAACTTGGCTTACCCACAGAAGGATCTCATTGTCTTCTCACACATCCAGTTCTTGGCACTTTTCTCTAACACTCATACCCTCAATTCCAGACCTTGTGTCCCAGTCATGGTCTAAGCCTGTTTTTCAGTCCTGATCTACCATGGCCCTAGTTTCTATCTGTTTAGCCTGTGTCTACATAGATATTACACGTATTGCCTCTTATAAATGCTGCATGATCCATTTATGCCTTGGGTCAGTGTTTCTTTGCACCTCATTTACAGTTAGGTATGCATGTGTATATGTCTGTATTACCCAAGTCACTTGGGCTAAGTCAGTGCAGCAAGTCATAAAGCTAGTACTTGAACCTAGACCTTTTAACTTCAAGGTTCAAACAATTGTATATATGGCACTGGACGACATCTACCTTTATTTGTTCATTGTTGAATACTAAGCTTCTAGAATGGAGTTGGCATGTGGAAGGCATTTGATAAGCATTTATTTAAAGAATAAGTAATTATTTTGATAATTATGTGTTGATTCAGTCCACTGTTAGATTCTTTACAGGGCTGCCTCTGGGAGCTCACTGCTGGCATGTAGTCTTAGCGACGTTACTGTGCTGCTAATGGTAGAGATGACCCTGCCTTATAATGTTTAATCATCTATTTTCTTGTTACGTTGCTATCTGTAGGCATTCTTTCTCTTATTACATTTTAATTTTATTTGTCAAATCTGTTAGCTGATAGTGAAGGATGATAAGTCTCCTGGAATCCTGGTTTATCTTATCTGTCTGATTAATCCCTGGGGTGGGGTTTGAATATTTTACAGCTTTTGGATCTTTTCATTCAGTGGGATTGGTCAACCTACCTTGCTGACTATGGACAGCCCAACTGCAAATACCTGCGGGTAAACCCAGTGACAGCTCTGACCTTGCTTGAGAAGTGAGTACCTGGTCCAGTGGTCTGTGTTGGGAGGTGGGAAGATGGGGGTGGGGAGTTGATATAGAAGATAATTTTGCCACTGCCAATACTGTGAAAGATAGCCTTGTTTTTGAAGTTGCCATAGGTGCTATCGGCGGTCTCAATCATTGGGCTTGGCAGGCCAGTCTTCCTCTTGTAGACTCTTAATTCCTGAGTCTCTAACAAGCTAGGCCAAGTACTGATCTCAGTTGGACTCTGGCATTACCTTGTAGCTTAACTAGTGATGACAAAAGAAAGGAATATGACTTAGTTTGAGGTCAGGCCAACTGGGTGAACAGAGTGAGACTGACTCCAGTCATCTGGGGTATAATAATGGGTACCCCCACAGAACAGATGGCTTCTCTGGTTCCTAGCAGAGAAGCCCCAGGAATTATTGAAGCTTTCACCTGCTTCCAACTCCCACTCCCTGCCAGATTGAGCTCTTTTGCGCTGACCATACCAGCAAAGCTATATTGGAGAAAGTGTCTAATTCCTGGCAGCAAAGACTTCCCTGCTACAGAGCTGTAATCTCTCTGAAGCAGAGGTGCTACCACTAAAATTGGGTTATCCAGCTCCAGAACATCTCAGAGCTAACCAGTGTGTCACTCAGAAGCTGGGAATTGCTATGCATTGTAGTCTGGCGCTGGCTTTTGCTTGCCTGGCAAGAGCTGGCAGGCCAGAGACCAAGACCCATGTTAAAGGACAGCTTTCTCTTGCTGTTGGAAAAACTAGTTAACCCCAACTGCTTAGAAGAGTGCCCTGCATCTAGGCAGTGGAAAGTCTCCATATATGGCCATTTGACCATGTCTCAAGTCTTGGGAAAGCCCAATGCAACCTTGAGCAAAAGGAGAGGCCCTTGTATATCCTTCTTTCTGTGTGACATGATAAGGGAGAGAAGAGGAAGAGATGGAAGGCAGGCAAGAGCAAGATGCAGGAGTTTGGAGGCCAAACTCAGGCAAGAGCAAGATGCAGGATGTTTGGAGCCAAGAGACTAAAAACTCAGAGTGCAGTTTTCTCCTGACTGTGTCAGGAATTGGTGTTGCCATTTTAACTTTGTCTCCCATGGTTCTCTCTTCCACTGACCTTCCTCCCTAGGATATCTAGAGAGTAAGTATAATATTCACTTGGGCCTTTTCCGTCACTTTGAGGCAAGTCCTTCTGGTTTCCTCATTGACACTAATGACTACACTAAAATCCCTAGCCTGTGAGTTGTCCCCACCCCTGACATACTAATCTACTAAACCAGCCTGGTGCCAACTGGCTGGCTGCCCTCTCTTTCCTTAGCCCTTAGAGTGACCCTTGGCTTAACAATTCCTTTGGGGCTGGGAGTGGTGGCCTGGATTTTCCCCCATCAGTTCCAGGTGAAGGGTTGTTGCCACTCAGTTTCCTGGCACATTCAGTACTCCTGCTAGTGCAAGGCCTGAAATTCAGCCCTGACCAAAGAGAGCTCCTCAGAAGTCTCCCCTGCTTCTTGGTGGTAAGGCCCATGGCCTTAAGATCTGGAACCCACATCTCCCATGGAAGGTTCCTGCTTAGAGTCAAAGCCTAATCATAGAGTTCTCAGGATTAGGTGAAAGAGGGGCATATTTTGACCTTTGATTTAGTACTTAAATGGTCATATCGATTATGTGTCCAAATGGGCTCTGGGATTCCCTCCAGTCAGTTACTTCGCTCAGCAGTCCTCTCTGCTCCTCTGTTTCTGAGGTTTTCTAGATCCAGGAAGTACTGGTTCATCTACTTCCTGTGGATCAATAATAGGCTAAAATAATCAGCCTCTTGCTACCATTCTGGAAGCCTAGCCAGTAACAAATCTATGTCCTTATCCCAAAGGGGTATGAAAGCTTCCTTCTAAACACAGTAGGGCAAAGGCCGCATAGATCTCTCAAGTCTATGTCTCCCAGCCTCATAGGAATCAATCCCTTTACCTGACCCATTCCTGCTTTTCCACAGCCAACTGAACCATCAGAGCTTGACAGTCTCTCCTTTCAACCTGGTCCTTCTTAGCAGAGTGAGACATAGAAAAACCCAAAGACCTTCTCAAGACATTCAGAATAAAGAGGGCCCTATGTCACTGAGAGGTGTCCATAGCTAAAGCAGAGCAGGATCCTGAGCTTACAAAGTATGATAAGAAATGGGAGGGCTCTCTTTTAGTTTTGGAGCATTCCTGAATAAAAACCAGCAAGTATACCATCAGGGCACTTGAGGTTATCTTTACAGCACCTCATTCCAACTCCAGACCTTAATGGCCAAGAAATCCTAGCCTCTGAGCCCAGAGACTACCCTCTTCTTCCTTTTCTCCTAGGTATTACAGGAACATCCCTGTGGGAGCTAAAAGTCAGCTGGCTGCCTGTTCCTCTGCTGCTTCAAGGAGTCATAAAATTAATGATCACACAGGATGTTAAATTAAATGTCTTATGAATATAGGAAGTAGTTTCCTTCACTTCTTCTTTCTTTCTTTTTTGTTTGGTTTGTGTTGTTGTGTTTAGATCTATAGTATACCCAACAAAGGAAAGGAAATCTTTCTCTGGAACTGTGTAAAACAGGCCAGTTCCACAAACATAATTGTGCAACTAATGTGTAAGGGAACAAATATAGTAATTATCATTAGAACCTTGAGGACTCTCATGTTTTCTCTTCAGTTAAGCCCACTTCTCCTTCTTCCTCTTCTCTAAGCACAGTGGTTATACCTTATATTCAGTGTTCTGAGTTTGCTTGGTGAGTATTTCCAGAAGGCTCTTGAGCTTAGATCAGGAAGAAAAGTCTTAATTAGTTTGTGGCTGTCACTGTCAGCCAGAGCCATGCAGCTATGGTGCTCATCAGAACCTCCTTGCCACAAATAATGCCCTTATGGAATATACCGTACATCTTATATACCTGATTGAAATGCCCTTGTGGTATCTCCGGCCTTTTGATTCACTGGCCTCTAATCTGCTTCTCCACAAAGGGCCACCTGTGGTGAAGGGAAAAAAGGCCCAGGATTGCCAAAGGCCTCTGAGAAGTATACCTATAGTTTATAACCCAGTGCCTAGTTCCTTCCCTCCCTCTTCTAGGCCTTCTGCATACAGCCCAGGGAGCAGGGAAGTCAGAGAGCTGGCACAGATCTTGGAGGTTGCTGGTGAAGACTGGTCTACTCTTGTTACAGGGAAAAATTGGTCTGGGCCCTGTTCTCAATTCTCTAACCCTAGAACTAGCTGTGGGCTGTGGATCTGGTCTGCAGAGGCTGAGACCAGAGTTAATGGTCACCAATAGATTCCCTCTGCGGGGAATAGTAAATTGATGGATTCTGTCACAACAGTTTAGTTAGGCTTGAGGGTTCTGTGTCAGTCTCACCCCAGTCTTTACTTTCTTTGTCCAAGCTGCCCAGTTAGGGCTGTCCATCTAGAACAACTGGCTAGAACTACCTATAGTTTGTGCTCTAGGAATATGCTGTTGGTAGAACGTTAGTGTGATACAAAGGTCCAAGGTCTGAGGATTTAGACAGCCATTGAGAACTCAGAGCTTCTCTTTCAGAAATCCCAGTCCTTTGGCACCTGCTTTCCTCAGCGCCATCCTCTCTTAGCCACCTCACTGCCTAGTAGCTCTTCCCTGAGACAAAGATGTCAGTCAAGTCCTTAGTTCTGTTAGAAATGGGATAAAGTAACCATCTAGAGTGAGGTTTAGAAATACAGTGTGACGTTCAAGATCAGCCTAAGCAACATAGTAAGACCCTGTCTCTACAAAAAATCAAAATATTAGTCAGCATGGCTACTCGGGAGGCTGAGGTGTAAGGGCTGCCTGAGCCCAGGAGGTCAAGGCTACAGTGAGCCATGACCATGCCACTTGTACTCCAGCCTGGGCAACAGAGTAAGACCTCAACTGAAGGAAGGAAGGGAGGGAAGGAAAAGAAAAAGAAATATACAAAGAAAGGAAGGAAGAAAGGAAAGAAAAAGAAATACACCATGGCTTTCAGTTACTTGTGTTATTTTAGATTGCTTAGTTAAAAGTATTTCCCCTGCTTTACCTTTCAAACACCATCTAAGGCCCCAGAAGGATTTAGTAAGTTTGTGAGTTAATGAGTGGATCCTAGACATTCTGTAAGAGCCTGCTAACCAGCAGACTGTAGCATGTCCCAGACACCAATAACAGGTACTTACCTGCAGAGAGAAGGGAATGGATTAGGCAGGGTGGACATAAGGGATAAGGAGATTGGCCCCAAAGCTGGCCCTTGACTGTTTCCCAAAGGTGACTGAAGTTGGAAGGGCTGTGGGTGCCAGGTCAGCTTCCTGATCAGTAGGTGAATGTGGGCCTGACAGTAGAAATACCCTGGACTCCCTCATGACTCTGGATAGTGGTTAAGATGCATTATGCCATCCTGCCTCCTATTAAGTATCCTTCTACCATCGTTTCCTCAAACACTTTGCCCTCTTTCTTTCCCTCTCTGTTTAGGATGAAGGATACTAGCCGCAAGAACAACATGTTTGCACAGTTTCGGAAAAATGAGCGAGACAAGCAGAAACTGATTGACACTGTGGCCAAGCAGCTCCGAGGACTCATCAGCAGCCACCACTCATGAAGGCTGGCCCTAGGTCCACAGAAGCTGCCTGCTGCAGTCCCCTAGTCTGGGGTTGCCCCTGGTTTACCATGCATTTGTGCATTCTTCTTCAAAGAGAGCATATGTATTTTTTTATTAACCCTGTACAGTATTCACATAACATTTCCTATAGTGAAAGAGGCACAAGAATAAGCAAGTACATGAGATGTTGTTAGGCTGGGACTCAGGGGAAGTTATCACTACACTATCTGTATTATCCTAGGGATGGTGGTGTCATCAGTTACAGTGTGATGAACTGCCTTTCACCCATGGCTCTAAAACCCAGGGCTGGGGCTCAGGAACTCTGGGTGCTTGACACTGGGAGATAGGGTAAGTAAGCAAAAGGATAAGAAGTTATATCCTGTTCACTCTAGGGTACCCCATTCACCGCATAGAGGAGCCTGGTTCTTTGATATGAGGAGGGCCTGGAAGACATGACTATTTAGTTCCAGAAGTGTCTCTCCTCAGTCCACTGATTTTCACTGGCTGGTGAACAGTCATGGCATGTGGCAAAATAACGGCTCCACTCCAATCCCCCAAGGATGGCAGTTTCTTTACCTAGATCCGACCCAAAACTGTTACTACTAAATTTTCCGGAGCAGGATAGAGCTAAGTAGGCAGTGGTCATAATTGGACCCTGTGACTAACTGCAGGTTGCGCCTACACTAGGAGTGTTGAGTCTCAGCCCAAGGAGTTTTTCTGGATTTTTAAAGCCAGTTTGAACGGAATCAGAGGCCCAGTCCCTTCCCCATTCATCTCATTTTCTTTTTCCATAGCCAGAGCACTTGGCTCATGGCATAGGTTAACAGTTGTTTCCATAGATCCTCGCAGAGTCTCAGACTTGGCCTCCTCCAGAAATGTTATTGAGATGGGTCAGATCTCAGAAGCTGAAAGGGTCCTTACTAACTGGTAAAACCTGAAGATTTCTTGGGATTGTTAAATTGTGTTTTAAAATCAGTTTTCTTGCCATCATCTTTAAAGAAAATGTCACCAGCTCTGCGCTATGGGGGCAACCACACACTTTTGCGATTACTTTTCACTCTAGGCATAAAGCCACTGTCACCATGAAGTAGACAGAGCCAACCATGACTTGTGGCTTATTGTCTCTAACCCAACTGTCCTTCACTAAATCATATCCTTGATATGAAGCTCTTCTTGCTCAAGCCCAAGGCTTCCCTCCTCTTTTGAAATTTTAAAGCCATCTTTTGGCCTCATCTGAGAGAGAATGCCTATCATCCTATCCCCCAAACTCTGGAGCTTGAAGCAGCTTAGCTTGGAGGCTGCATCCATTGTCCCAGGTGGGCTCCTAAGCCTTAATGCAAGGGCTTTGCAATGAGGTCAGTCAAAGGAAACTGCACCTTAAGTCTCTTGAGGAAGATGCTACTATGGCTACTGGCAAGGTAATAATTGTGCATCACAAAACAATGACAAATAAGCCACACAGGCATTTCCAGCTTGGATTAGTGGGAGGAGAGACTCATCAAACAGAATTCTCTACTACCTTTATCAGCTGCTGAGTTGCTTCAGGGGAGGGTAGTCCTTCCCTTTCTGTTCCCCACCTTTGCCCTCCCCATATCCTACCACATCTTAAAAACCATAGGGAAGAGAATGCACACACAGACATACAACCTCAAAGCTGGAGAGACCCAGCCACATGTGAGCTCTGCAGAAGCCTGCTGAGGCTCATCCTGAGGGCTGGGCAGTTGGCCAGGGTTTTAGGATGAGGGCCGGGGTAAGCCCTGTCACCGATCATTGGATAAGCCAAGGGAAGGTGGGGGCCAAGACAGCATCTCCAAGCCTTGGTGTTTGCTGAAAAGAGTGAGAGATGATTACACTACTCTGAAGCCCTATTGCTTGAGAAGGAGTCAAAACACCCTCTCACCTGTACCCAGTTTGCAGCACGATCTCTTTGGTGTTTAGTGCTGAGACTTCGAAGTGGGAATGAAAAGACACTTAAGCATACACTTCAGTGTTTGTCTTTTTAGAGGGTCATCCATTGCTGGTCAGCTCTCAAACCTCTACCCTGGAAGAACTGTGCTGTAGAGGAAAAGATGAACCGGATGGAGGACTAGGGCTCACTCTGCACCTCCAGCACTGAAGTCCTGTGAAAGAAAAATCTTCACACTTGAGATTCACACAGATGGACTCATTTCTTCTCTGCCTTCAGTCTGCCTTCACTTTTCTCTTTTAAAAAAATGCAGCCGTTGAGTGGTATATGGAGACACACTCTTGGTGGGTCAGAAAGGTAAAAACAGCAACCAGCAATGTCATGGCTTTTTGAATTGGAGAATTAGAATGTTTTTATTTTTGCCTGTAGGCCTGTAGGTGGGCCAAGCCTTGCCTTGATTGGACTTGTGCAAAGCATATGTTTCTATGCCCCTCAGATGCCTCATATCTGACCTCAAATGCCCAGTGATTTAGAAGTGCCCTGGAGGGCTCCAGTAAGAGGGTAGCAACATGAGTGGCTGGAAGCCTACATGACCTCTGGTCAGAATGAACCTTTGGCCAAGTTCTTGGGGAAACAGGTCTATGTTTCTGAAAAGACAGTCTGGTTTGGGAACCTTGTGGGTTTCAATAGTGATACAGGCAGCTTGCATCATTTTAACATTCATAGGAAAATCTCTTTGAGCAGGCTGGAAATGAAGCTGTTGAGGATGAGGAAGAACAGTACCTGCAAATGGGAACCTACTGGTTTCCTGCTGAGAGTTCCTGTTGACAAAGGGAATGTGCAGCTCCCAGGGTGCATGTCCCAGGGTTCTCATTGCATACCAGGCCTAACAGTCTCCCAGGCCTCCAGGCCAGTCTAGCTCACTGCATACTTGACAAAGTGCTTGCTCAGAAAGTCCCAGAGTCATGGCCTTTTATCTCCCAAGATTGGCCATAACTATGACCTTTCTCATCGAGCCTCTAAGCACACTCTCTGGGGCCTGCTGCAGAAATCCCCCTACCTTAACCCTCTCTCCCTTCTCCCAGGACTCTTCTCCTGACTGCTTCAGTTGCCTCTCTTTTTTTTTTTTTGCCTGCCTTTGCAATTACTTTTAACTAATGTGTTGGACATGGCCTTTTTATTTTGCACAGATAGTTGCACATTTATAGAGAAAATCTAGTAAAGTCCATTTTTAACTCTAAAGGGAACTTTTTTCTTTAAAACCCACTAGTAAAGCTACTGATGCAGATGGGCCGCATGGTTAGGGAAAAACTCCTGTGGAAAGAGCATGTTTATTCCTCTTGTACATTTTCCCTTTTAACTGCTATTAAACAAGAGAGCCTACATACCTGTTTCAAAAGCCACAGTGCTGTCTCATGGGTTTTTATTCTTCCATCCCTTTTGCACAGTGCAGCTGTGGTTGGTGAACTGGCTGGCAGTCATTGCATCACTACTCAGCTGGTCTAAGGAACAGAGCAGGCAGGAGCTTGGTGGGGAGGAGAAAGTCTGCCTGCCTACCACACAAGGCAAAGAGCTGTATCGTAGCCGTGGAAACATCCCTAACCACTGGTTGGGTTTTGCAGTCTATACAACTAACACTGGCATCGTCATTATCATCAAGAACTTTTTGAAATGACTGATTTATGCATAATATTGTGCTGGGCAACTTGAGGCCCAGCACTGAGCACCAGCCCTGCCATGGAAAGGCTCCCAGTCAAGATGGAGTGATATGGCGTTATCCAGAACAAAGCCTAGCTGTGGGAGAAGAGAGGAGCCTATTTTAGACTCAGCGCAAGACAGGGAAAGTCATCTGGTAAGATGTAGAAAAGGGTCTGGTCAGAGAAGACAGCACAGAGGAAGTAGGTCATTCATTAGCTGGACCTTAAAATAATGCAGTTCAAACTTTGTTAAGCCATGGAAATACTTTAGATGCCGACCACATTAGAGTGCAAAATTGGCACAAAGCTTGTTATGTACAGACAGGATAATAAGGAAACTCCTAGGCACATCTGGAACCATGGTAAGACCAAAAATGTAAGTGTAGCATCACCCAACCTGCTTGCCCCTCAGGTCGGCACAGAAGTGACTGGAATAGGCTAGAAAGAATTTCTTCAGTAACAAGTCCGACTACTGTAACTGGGCTTTGAGGCCTGAGAGACCCAGGCTCTGATCCCTGTAATGTCACTTACTAGCTGGATGACCTTGAACAGTTATGTAACTCCCTAAATCTCATAACCCTCCTCCATGAAAGCAGAATGGTAGTCCCTAACTTCCAGGGTTGCTGTGAAGTGTGAATGAGCTATGGAGGGTCAAAGTGCTAAGCCAGGACTGAGCTGCAGCACACAGGCTACTTAAAGCCCTTTCCTCCCTGCCCTCCAATTCCACAACATCCTCATGGCTGAGCAGAAGTGTCCAGAAGTGTCCAGAGCTTCTCTGCCTCCTGGTCTTCTCCCCAAGCTCAGCACAGGATTGGTGCTCAAGCACCTGTACACTAAATACACGAAACAGAGGGACATGCCTCAGCTAGCTGCCTCGACACAACCTGGAACCTTCTCTGCTCTCACTTTGGTGACAAAACGTATACCTTCTAGAACTCTGGAGTTCTCAACCAGGGGTCCAAGAAGTGTGTGTGTGTGTGTGTGTGTGTGTGCGCGTGTGTGCACGCACCACCCATTTTGTCTAGAAAGAAGGTTCATGGTTTTCATCAATGTCTAAGAAAGATTCATGACTAAAAAAACTGAATAATAACCAAATCCCTTTGGAACTTGATCTCCCCATGAGGAAAAGCTAGAAGCTGAGCAGTTTACCTCCTCTCCCTGCCTTGTATATCTCTGCAGATTTGTCAAAACCTGCAGCTCTGCCACCGCCTTTTCCATGAACCCAAACTTGAACCCCAGATCACACCTAAAGACAAGCAGTACTGAGTTGGGGACAGGAGGGCTGCATTCCAGAGGCTTCCAGCTGGTCGGGGAGGGATAAACGAGAGGCTTGGGCTGTCCCAGTCAAACTGAACCTGACTCACCCCAGAACATTTCCCACTGCCTCTGAGCACCAACTGTTAGAACTTCTGGCCCAAGGCCTTATCCAGAGAGGGACCAGCAGCTCTCGTGGGGTACTCTGAGGCAGAAAAACAAAGCAAAACAAAAAAGCCCAGGAAGGATGTGAAACAGTCACCAGCTTGCCCCCTTTCTCACAGCTGGGCTTCTTATCTGCTCACCAGGCAGTTGGGGGTGGGAGATAAGAGGAGGCCAGAGAGAGAATGCCAAGCCCTTTCCCCAGAGGCCTCATTTTGAATTTAATGGGCAGGCCTTGCCGGGAATGAGAGAGCCTCGAAGCCCAAGGGACCAGGGGACAAAGGCTCTCGAGGAAGTGCAAAGAGGAGGAGGAGAGGAATGAGGGCCTGGGCATTGTGTGCGAGGAGGGCTGCCCCTCTATCTGTTTCAATCACTGGTGGGGTTAGGGTTACCCTGCATTTGGGGCCCCAGCCGCTTTGTGGGGTCTATGACATCAGCCGTTGTGATGGTAATGGATGGGCCTCTCTCAAAGGGGCATCCTTTCCTCAGCCAATGCGCATCCGCCCCCGAGAGAAGATGGAAGTTCCTCTTCCCTCAGGGTGGGGGCAGACTGTGGACCCAGAATTGGACCCAAGACAACAGCCCCCTCCTCCCAGTCTGAACCCACTGCTGAGTGTAGCTTCCAAGCCCAAGCTATGACCTTCCTCTCTCCAAAGCTCCAGAAAAGGAATGGAATCTGAACATTGAGACGCCTTTCTGGCCCTAAACAATCCTCCTATTCTCTAGGCTCAATGATGGGTCTATTTCCTCCTGTAAATGGGGCTCGTAATCTTCAACTTTTACCTTTGCTTCTAAAGGTAATTAATTGGATCTGCCTCTTGTTCTCCCCACACACGCCCCTCTCCGTTACAAGGCTCAGGTTATGCTGGGTAGATGGCTTTTCTTTCTTTCTGTTCCATGGGGTGCTTACTTTTAAAGCTGATGGAGTAAGGCCCTGCCCTCTCCAGTGAGCCCTTCTCCCGAGAAGCCTGCTGGGGCTGTTGTCTTGGGTCCAGTTCTGGGTCCAGTGCTGTGGGCACTTGAAAGGTGCCTATTATGGCACCAGCCAAAGGATTTTCAGATGTCAGTTCTGAGTGGCCAGTTCACTTCTTCCCCCAGGTATGTTTCCAGGGTTTTAGGGAAGGAGTTTTCAGGCAACACTCCCGGGAGCAAAGTGGGAGTTAAGTGGTCATCTGGATACTGGAGACAGAAAGGCAAAGGTGGGCATGGGAGAAAGTAAAATCAAAAAGACTTTTTTTTTCTGCCAGTTTGAGGAAAAACAGAAAGGCAACATAGGGCAACAAGGTAAGAGGGATGAAGATAGAGCCCACCTCAGTGGGGCCAACTGGATGAGAGGCTGACAGGGGGAGGAGATAGTTCCTGCAGGCAGGAGGTTGAATCCCAAAGAGGCCTGATTTCTAGTGAACTGTGGACTTGTCAGCTGCTTCAGATTCTGTCTGAATCCCCAGTAGCACCTAGCCCAACAAATGGCACACAGGCACTCACAGCCAAATGAATAGTGATAGGAGCAGCTTAAAGTAGGAATGGGTGCATACAAGGGGAGGGGGCTAACTATGTAAGGGCTCGTGCCTACAACCCGGAGCTTTGGGAGGCCAAGGTGGGAAGGTCACTGGAGGCCCATGAGTTTGAGACCAGCCTGGGCAACATAGCCAGACCCCTGTCTCTAAAAAGAAAATATAGCCAGATTCTCATCTCTCCAGGAAAAAAAAAAAAGCTGGGCATGGTGGTGTGCACCTGCAGTCCCAGCTACTTGGGAGACTGAGGCAGGAAGTTAACTTGAGCTAGGAGTTTGAGTCTGCAGTGAGCT